CAATAGAACCAATGGAAATAATAAGAATAACATAATACTATGAAGAATTGTACTTCAACAAATTTGAAAATCTAAAAGAAATGGACAAATTTCTAGAAACACATGACTAAATTAACACAGACTGAAGTAGAAAACTTGAGCAGATCTGTAACAAAAGAAGAGATTGATCAAATCACTAAAAAAGACTTCCAACTTAAAAAGCCTGGGCCCAGATGGCTTCACTGGTGAATTCTACTAAACATTCAGAGACAAGCTAACACCAATTCTACTCAAACTATTCCAGAACACTGAAAAGGAAAGAAAACTCCTAAATTCATTTTATGAAGCAAGTATAACTCTGATACCAAAACCAGGCAAAAACATCCCTAAAAAAGAAAGTTATAGACCAATATCCCTAATGAACATAGATATAAAAATTCTCACCAACATCCTAGTCAATAGAATCCAACAACATATCAAAAAATACATCATGACCAAGTGGGATTCATACCAGGTATGCAGGGATTTTCAATACTAGAAAAACAATGTTATCCACCACATAAATAAAAGGAAAAAAAAAGCATCTGAAAAATCCAACACCAATTCCTAATCAAAACCACTCCACACAATAGGAATAGAAGGGAAGCTTCTCAACATAATTAAGGGCATATATTCAAAACCTTGTGTGGTGCTATTGGATAATAAGCACAAGGCCGGCTGTTCAAACCCACAAGCCACTCCTCAGAAACCTTATACAGGGTTGCTATTAAGTCAACTGACTTATACACCACTTAACACCACCAATACAAAACCTACAGCCAACATCAATGTGAATGCAGAGAAACGGAAAGCTTTCCCTTGTGAACAGGAACCAGAAAAGGACGCCCAGTATCACACTCCTAATCAACATTGTGCAGGAAGTCTTAGCCAGAGCTGTAAGGCAAGCCAGGGAAATTAAAGACATTCAAGTTGGCAAAGAAATAAACCTCTCTCTAACAACGTATTGCATTAGGCAAATCTGCTGCACAAGACCTTTTTAAACTGTTGAAGAGCAAAGATGTCAGCTTGAGGACTAAGGTGTGCCTGACCCAAGCCATGGTATTTTCAATAACCTCATATGCATGCCAAAGCTGGACAGTGAATAAGAAAGAATGTAGAAGAATTGATGCTTTGGAGTTACAGTGTTAGAGGAGAATATTGAAAGTGCCATGGCTGTCAAAAGAACCAAACAGATCCGTTTTGGAAGAAGTGCAGCCAGAGTGTTCCTTGGAGGCCAAGATGGCCAAACTTATCTCTCATATTTCAGACACATTGTCAGGATGGACCAGTTGCTGGAGAGGGATATCATGTTTGGTTAGGTGGAGGGTCAAAGAAAAATAGGAAGACCCCCAACAAGATGGATTGGCCAAGTGGCAGCATCAGTGGTCTCAAGCGTGGCAACAGTAGTGAGGTTGGCCCACAGGATCGGTCAGTGTTTCGTTCTGCTGTGCATAAGGTCACTTGATGGCACCTGACAGCAACAATTTGCAGATGACTTAATTCTATCTATACCTAGAAAATTCCAAAGTCTCAGCAAAAAAATTAATGGAATTCATTAAAGATTCAGCAAAGCACCAGGGTATACGATCAACGTGTACAAATCAGTTGTATTCCTTTACGTTAATAAAGAGACCTCTGAAAAAGAAATCAGGACAACAGCCCCATTTACAATAGCTACCCAAAAGATGAAATAAATCAAACCAGAGAAACAAAATGACCTAATACAAACAAAACTATGAAACATTACACCAAGAAAACAAAACACCTGTACAAATGGAAGCATATATACTTCGTTCATGGATACAAAACTTAACAATATGAAAATATCAACACTACCCAATGCGCAACCTATAGATATAACGCAATCCCAATCTAGATTCGAATATCAGTCTTTAAAGATATGGACAAACTAAACGCTAACTTTATATGGAAAGGAAAGAGACCTTGAATAAGCAAAGCACTGAAAAAGAGTCCTGTTGTAGAGTGTGTGCTGTAGGATAATCACTGGACCATTAAGCAGGAGACTGGCAGCTCAAACCCCCACCAGCCACTCCTCAGAAGCCCTGTCTATACAGGGTCTTTATTAGGTGGACCCAATTTAGCAATTAGAAAAGAACAAAGTAGGAGGCCTCTAACTTCCCAATCTCAAAACCTACTACACAGCTACAGTAGTCAAAACAGCCTGGTACTGGTACAGTGAAAGGCACATAGATCACTGGGGCAGAATTGAGAATCCAGGAGTAAATCCACCCACCTATGGTCAGTTGATCTTTGACAAAGAGTCAGAACACTGTGGGGAAGGGAAATCTCGTCAACAAACGGTACTGGCAAAACTGGAAATCCAGTTGCAGAAGAATGAAACAAGATCTGGATCTCACACATAAACAAAAATAGACTCAATGTGGGTTAAAGCCCTAAATGCGAAACCTAGGACTATAATGATCCTCAATGAAAACATAGGGACAAACTGAGGGCTCTGATACATGACACAAATACACTATCAAACTGAGGGCTCTGATACATGACACAAATACACTATCAAACTGAGG